GACATTCAGTGATATATTTGTGGGGTTTATGATAGTCTCGACAATGATACAGTTGTGGGATTCGTAACAAATTAGCCATCCAATAATGGAGGAAGCAGTATGTTTCATGTTCAGCGAATTGATCGTTTAGTGGGGAATGTGAGGTCGGAGAATACTTTCCACAGTCACAATCTTCATTTATTGACTGAATGTGAGAGAGTTATTTAACTAAAGGCACACTATCCTGGTCAACTAGCCGAGGCGTTCTACCTGGAACGGAATGCATCGATAAACTTTGTGAACACACCACCGATTTTCGACTTTGCCAGACCGTATATGCCGAGAGTGAATTTTGTTGGAGCGTTGCACTGTAAGAAAGCAACACCACTGAAAGGGGTATGTTCTCGAGATTGTTTTCACTCTTTTTATTTGTTGATTCAATCAAAAATTAAACTATTCATAAGTAGATCCACGTCATATGACGTTGTGCGTGGAATGTATTTACAGATTGTTTACAGAAGATGTGGTTTGTTTTATAGATTGAATATTGTACTGACGAATAGTGTAGTTGTTTGCTTTTGTAAATAAAATTGGAACGGTAATCAATATGGTGCAGTTGATAGTAGATTTTATGATTGTGTTAGAAAAGTATCATGGAGGTTGATGTAGTGCATAGATAATGTTTATTCTGTGATGATGGTTTCGAATGTGAACATTTAGGATTTGGCAAGATTCGTCGAGGGTGCAGATAAGCAAAATGGTGTGATTCTGTTCACGACTGGTTTCACGGCACAATGGAAACGTGCACCAAAGAAAGTAGTGGTTAGTGTTTTGAATGCCATTGGAACAGGGAGAAATTTTGTGTGTATTGAGTGGAATCTTATTAAAATTCACGGTTTTGGGGCATTAATTTTGAAGTTTTTCCACCAAATTTCCGAATGTTTAAGTTGAATTTTGAGTTTTGTTGTAGAATGCGTTTGTGGAGGCGTTCACTGAGAAGAAAGACATTCGTTTTGTGTGGCAGTATGATGGCGAAAAAATTCCGAACCTTCCCTCAAATGTATTCGTAGCAGATTGGTTACCACAGCAAGACATACTTGGTTAGCTTTTCTTTTTTTTCTAAATTATGCGACTCAGTTCAGATGCGAAGTTAGTTTGTTATTTTTGAATCAGATGGGTGAATAATATCCAACGTAGAGGTCAAAATTTGAGAGTCATTTGAGTATTNTTTACGAGGATATTTTGTTGTTGTAATAGATATATTGTAAGTGTTATATTGCGAAAGTTATGGTTAGGAAATGATTGGGAATATTAATTCGAGTTGAAATATTTCGAAGCAGATTAAGAACAACAAAGACGGAATGTTTTAGTTTGCGTTGGATAGTTTCATTTTAGGGCATTGAACGGATTGATTTCAGGACATCCAAAAACACGTGCGCATATAACACACGGCGGTTTGAACAGTGTTATCGAGAGTGTGTGGCATGGAGTGCCCGTGATTGGTTATCCGTTGACAGCGAGCGGAGTGGACAATTTGCTGAGATTGACAGCACGAAACGTTGGTGTGATGTTGAAGAAACGGGGACTCACAAAGAAGACGATTCTACGTGCCATCGACGAGATTTATGCGCAAAAGTTGGTGTTTCGTATGGATTTGTTTATGAAATTTGATTTTTTCGAGGAGAATTTTGATGTCAAATTAGATTTGATTTTAAATGATGTGTGTATTTCAAGAAGGATGAGATGAGGTGATATCTGTCACTGGTGACATTTCAGATACAAAGATGAAATGTTGATATTCCAAGATATGGTCACAGATGTGCCATACACTGAACTGAACCATTCAGCGTTTTGGGTGGAGTTCATCGATCGTCATCAAGATGTGAGTGATGTTGATACAGATTTTTTGGAGATGGTTTTTTAGATAGGGTGATTTTAGCGAGGGTTTGGTTTTGAATGATGATGCAAGTTTATTTGATTATGGGAAGTGATTCTATTCGATTCATTNTTCAAGATGAATGATTTTAGTACTGGAGTCGTCTTTAAGATGAACATTTTGCGAGTTTTATCATTGGTGTAAATGGAAATATTCAGTGACGCGTATTTGTTAAAAATTATTTGTATTCGGTTAACGCAAAGTGTGTGATTTAGTCAGGATGTTCGGATTGATGAATGAGTAGTGATTTAGCGATGTATTCATGTAAACGATATTCTGACGTGTTGATATTCGATCAGCGGTTCAATCCAAAAAACAAATATTCGATGAAAAAACATTTTGAAACAGTTTCGTTGGGTTTGATTACATGAGTATGCATCTATGTGGTTGTGAGTGTTTTATAGTGAAGAAACGTTGATTATTTCAGGTACCACACGCGAGATCGGGTGCAGATCAGCTGAATGTGTTGCAGTATTTCTTGGTGGATGTGATAATGTTCTTGTTATCGGTATTATTGATTCTGATCACAATAATCTACTATGCGCTGAAAGGACTGCTTCTTTTGTTGGTCAAGTTTTATAGATCGAGAACAGCGAAGGAGGAGGCGGAATCGAAGAAAACGAAGTGAGAGTTGGGAGGTGTAATGATGACCTTGGATTTATCTTTATGAAAGTCTTATTTGGATGATTTCATAGATTATGAAGGATTCATTTAGTCTTCTTATTGTACGCTTTGAATGAAGCGTTTTCAGTGATATTGTTTTGTTCTAAGGGAGATTTTTAGAAAAAATAAGGTGTGATTCATTGAGTTTCCTCCTTGTATGATTGTCTTTTTTTGGAGTAATAATCGTCACCTTTGCTTATATGCCTTCTTTGAATTGTCTATGGAAAAGTGTACTGAAGCAGATTCATTGGCTGTCTGGACAAGGAGCTGAAAAACAGCTTCGTTAACTTTAATTATTGTGGATTCTAATCAGACGTTTTATTTGTCTTCGTTTATATTATATCATTTATAATCAACAGTCTATTCACTTGTCATNGATTTTGATGGTTTTATTGTCTTTTGTTTTTATTGTCCATTTTTAATATTATACCAGCTTGGTATGGTTGTCAGCTTGGAGAAACTTGCCAGCTTTGTGTTTTGATAGTGTATTGCATTTTGTTTTGTTCATTGTGTTATATTGCATTCTGATAGTTTTCCATTTTTTGACTTCTATTCTGTAGTATTCTTTTGGTGGTACTTCATAGTATCATTCGACGTATTATAGAACATTCCTCACTCGTCCTTTTTTGTTCGCTCGAATTTTTTTCATTGATTCGTGGAGTAAATTTGTTGTGATTCATTTGCATTTTTGAAATTTTCACTTTGGTAAATAGTTTTCCATAGGATATTATTTGATTTTTACAAGATATTCAATTGTTAGAAAGTACAATCGCATATGAGTAATATGTTTTATTGAACTGTTATGGATATAAATGATTATAGAATAAAGATAATACTAACAAGAGGAATAACTCACCCGCTAATGAAATCGCACTTACTAACACTTCCAAAACCGAAATCCGTCCGAATCGGATTAAAATAACTACTGAAATCCGTCGATATGTGAATTTAGGTATTGAAATGAATGTGATTATGAAGGTTTTGTTGGTACGTAGATAATTGGTTGTGATATAGTAAAGTACGATAGTACAGTGTGATTTAATGTTAAACTTGATTTTGTGTCATCTCATGAAAGTATTGCAGTAACGGTTATTGACTGATAACGATTGATGAAGTGATTGGTAGAATTTAAGAATTTATTTTATGTTGTTGTCAGGTTTGAGATTCTGCAGTAGTCACAAATGGGAAAGAGTGTGATTGAAGCAGTTTGCAGAGTTGTATTGAGCAGTTGTTAGGCATAGGGTTGAGTCGTGTATCATCATTGAAGGGTATAGATTCATAAACGTGCAAGTGTGTGTGTGTGTCTTTCATCGTTTGTGT